CTAGTCACGTGAGGGACACGAGCGGAGGGGTGGACGGTCATGCATCAACTGAAACAAGGCCACCACCCCGAGTCGAGGAGCAGACACTGACCATGACGAGAAGCGAGATGCAGAGAATGATCGCGGAGGCGGTAGCGGCCCAACTCAAACAGACGCAAGTCGCGCAACCCAGAATCGACCGGCCAAGGGTCAAGCAGCCTCAAACCGAACAGCCTCCCCCGGAGCACGAACAACAGGCCCAATCCCATGAAAGACAGAGTAGAAGGGTGGATGAGGAGGAATCCTCCGTCAGAACTGTCAATCCGCAAACAAGGAATGACACCCTCGAGCAGTTGCTAGCTCAGGTGCGAGACCTATAGGCTCGAGTCGAGAGGAGAAAAACAGGAGGCTTGAGAGGACACCCCTTTTCACAACATATCCTAGACGCCGACTTGCCGCAGGGGTTCAGAGAGCTGAACATTTGGTACGATAGGTCAACTGATCCCTCTCGACATCTGAGGAGTTTTGAAAACATGGCGGTGCTGCACCGCTATAACGACCCTATTCAATGTCGAGCGTTCCTGACGACTTTGCGAGGACCTGCGCAGGACTGGTTTTATCAATTGCCCCCGGGAGCTGTCAGGGACTTTGGGGGGTTTAGCTCAAGTTTTCTAAACCATTTTGCAAGTGTAAAGGCCCAAGAGAAATCCTACCTCACTCTGATAGGCATGCAACAAAAGGAAGGAGAATCGCTGAGAGATTACATGGCAAGATATACACGGGCATGCGTCGACGTCCCCTCAGCCACTGAGGAAATCAAGTCGGGAGGACTCACTAGAGGACTCCTCCCTGGACTATGCCGAAACTCCTTAGCAAAGCGACCTGGGAGGTCGTTCGATGAGGTTTTAGGAAGGTGTGCCAAGTACATGAATGTCGAGGAAGCCGAAGCCGATTTCCTGCAAGCGGCTAAAGCAAAAACTGAATTTCGGGAGGAGAAGAAGGATAAAAAAACCAATCACGTCGGTAGAAAGGAAAGGATCCCCAAAGTCAGAAAGGGAGGGGCGATCAAGGGGATGGATGACAACTCAATATACCCCCTTGCTAGCCTCGACTACAAGGATATTGGAGGTAATGGAGAAGGAAATCCGCAAAAGCATTGTCAGGTGGCCACGAATGAGAAAGGACGGACCGACAAAGCCCAAAAGCGATCTATATTGTCGATTCCACAAGGATTACATGCACAATACCGACAAATGTCGACACCTGAAGAACAAAATCGAAAGACTAATCAAAGCAGGCCATCTAAAGGAGTTTGTTTATAAAGATCAAGATCGAACCAGTCGGCGAAGGGAAAGAAGTAAGAGCTCTCGCAAAAGGGCGAGAACACCCGACAAAGAGGAGCTCTCTCAGAAAAGAGGAATAATTCATATGATATTTGGAGGACCGACTGATGGAGACTCAAACCGAGCCAGAAAGGCGTGTATGCTCGCGGCCGCCACAGAAAAATTGAAGTACAACATGTGGAGGAAAATGGTCCAGTGATGAATTTTGGGCCAACAGACATGGGAGAGGTCGAAAGACCTCATAATGACGCAATAATGATTACTGCTCAAATATCAGGCTATGAAGTGCAGAGG